TGCTATGTATCTAGACATATTTATGTCTAGATACATAGTAAATATGTCTAGATACATAGCAAAATGGATGAATCAAAAAAGTCAAAACGACACTTATTTTGAAAAGGAGGGAGTAACAATTAAAAAAATATTAAATGTTGTATGCATTTATGATTTAAGGTAGTTAATTGTTTTATAAATTTTAAACTTCTAATAGTTATGGATACAATATAAATCTATATGGGCTACTCTAAATTACATTTGTGTAAATACATAAAAGAAAGTTTTTATTTCACATTTCAATTATATCTAAAGAGTTATAACAAATAAAAAATATTACCTTTTGGATGTATTTATGATTTTAGTTAATTATTTTTTTATAAATTTTAAATTTTAATAATTATGGATACAATATAAACTATATAGGCTACTCTTAATTACATTCGTCTATATACATAATAGAAAGTTTTTATTTCACATTTCAAATCAGTCTTACAAGCTTAGATAATTATATATAATCAAAATGACATTCATCACTATGTTACATTTTTAAGTCATATTATATATAGACAAAACTATTTAATTGATAAATAATTTTATTATTTTTTATTAATATTTATATATAATTTATTTTTTATTATAAACGTAAACATACATATTTATGTATATATTAGATATGAATGTCATATCAATGCTATCAATGCTCGTTATGAGACGATTAATTTGATATATTATAAATGAAAATTAGATAACAACTACAAAATTTATTAACTTTCGATATATTTGTAATTTAAGTTGGTCAAGTTTTTTATAATTACAAAAGTCCTAATAGACATGAATTAGAGTCCAAATGTACTTCTACTACTCTGAAACCAAACCTAAAATTAGAAAGCACCAGAATTGAACACATATAAAGCACAAGTACATTTTGCATTAATATATAGAGGAAATTATAGATATTTTATTGAACTGATATATAATTTTATTAACTTTTCAATTAATATTAAAGGTGACTTAATTTTATATAAAGAAATATAAAGCTGTTTAGTTGATATATTATTTAAAAAAAAAAAAAACCTTATACCAAACAAAAACTTAACTTTTAAATATATTTATGATTTAAGTAAGTGAAGTGGTTTATAATTTTAAAAGTATGCACATCACATATATATAGGACCATAGGTTACTCCAAATTACACCCGTTATTTAAGTCATATTATAGTGAATTTTGATAGACAAAAATACTTAATTGATAAATAATTTTATTATTATTCAATCAATATTGATATATAATGATTTTTACTACAAAGGTAACGCATTTATTTATATATGCAATATAGCTGTCAAATCGAAGCTCGTTATGAGATGATTAATTTAATATATTATAAATGAAAATTTAACAACAAATACAAAAATTATTATCTTTTAAAATATATTTTTAGTTAAAATTGGTCAAGTGTTTTATAATTTTAAAAATCTTAATAGGCATGTACAAAAGTGCAGATCTACTTGTACTACCCCAGGCTAAACACAAAAGCACCAGAAATTGAAATACGTAATCTCGATATTCTGCATTAATATATATATTGAGAGATATAATGTGGAGTTGAGTTTGAGAGGAAAAACAAAAAAGGTTGAAGGACATTTGATGTTCAGCCGATTAATCATACCTTTGAGCATGCACGAGACGAAATAATTTCCCCTATTCCATGTAACACCTGAAAATCAATCAAAACGGCCGACTTCAATACATTTACAGAGAAGTAACAGTGAGAACATTTTTGAAGCATAAATGTGGAAAGTCACTATAAATCATTTCCACTTAATTAACCATGTTACCAGAGAGGGGCATATGGAAGTAAACAGTGAACCCATGGCAAAGATAATGCAATCAACACTCTTCAATTGTTCCAAGACAGTTGGGTTCGCAGACGGAAAGACCTGCTCAAGGAAAACACAACTCAAAACTAGATACGAAGACAGTATTATTATTATTATTTTTTTTTTTTTTTTCAAATCTCTCCTATTTACAGAACAATTATCAAGAAGCAATGAACTAGTTGATAATAAATAGTTGAAGCATTCGTTACCTCGTGTAGTAAATTGCTACCTTCACTGGACATATAAAAGACCCGCTTAATTCTCGACGGAAGTCTTGGAACTAATGAGTTACTCTGCGAAATAAACCTTCTTTAATCAAATGAAATTATACGGACATTTATAATGAGAAATGGTTGCGGGACTAAACAAATTACAGTTGAGCTAGAAAAACTGATGAATGCTCAAACCTTATTTATTGGCTCCATAGATCCATTTGTGGGATGAGATATTTCATTCTGACCCCGCACTATAGTTCCATCCTAGCAGCCAAGAAAAAACAATAAATGAGAACAGAATAACTTGTGTAGGCCTAAAATAATCTATCTTTCTGAAATCTTTTTCAGTTGATCTGCAGTTTGCATAAAACTTGAAAAGCAGCAACTATTCAGAGAAATATTAGCCACCACTAAGAGCAAAGGTATCCAACATTACTACGTTCTGAATTTCCACGAATGATATTACATATTTATACTAAATTGAAGTTCATGTGAAATACGTGAATTTTGCTAAAGAAGTTAATTTTTCTTACCCATAATTCACATCCCAAGGTAAGCCTATCATTTGTGGATATAACAGGGAGAACAAGGCTTTCATTAGGTATTGCCGAGACACGTGAAAACAAAAAAATCGCAGCATCTAAAGACTGAAAGAATATTCGGGCTCCAGCAAAGAAGAAGTTCCCAATGCTGCAAATAAGGTAGTCACGAAGTGACAGAACCAGACTGAGTACAAATTCTTGAAGTTGAGTATCTAGAGAAAAAACTAAGAGAGAAAAAAAAGGAATAATACAAGTAATTTCGAAAAAAAAAAGAGAAACAATTCTGACAGTGGGAATCAGATTGAAATAAGCATGATAATTACTGCACTACTAGGTTTCCTCTTAATCTTTTAATGCAAAACCCAAACTTAGGATCCAAAATCCATCTTGTTCCATGCTAGAAGAATGTGTTAGTTAACATGGAATATGGAGATATAAGGAGGCATAAAGCATTTAACACATAGATGAAACAAATACTTATACACACAGTGAAAATAGATCTCTTATACCACGCCTATTTAGCCTAATAATCTAATTCACTGTTTTCACAACTTAAAATTTTCAAACTGCTTCCCCTTTCACAAATTAGTCCCCAACCCGTGCTTCTTTGGATGGAAACTTTCCCTAAAACATAATCATAATAATCCAAGAATATCAACTTATAAAAATGAATGAAAATAGAACACTTTTTCCAACTTAGTTTAGCCTAATTCTGCATTTCATAACTTAAATATTACAAAATGGTATCCCCTCCTCTAGTTAGGTACCCAAGCAATGCCGAGACTGAAACTTTCTCAATTGTCAATCACAATGACTCAAGGAAACAACAAAAAGAAAAAAGTGGATATTTTTCAAAAACACTTAAGCACCTTCCATTACTGAAGCAGAATGATTCGTCCGACCTCCTGAGGATCTGCAAAAATTAGTTTTTGACCCATAAAAGGAAAAATATAAAATTGGAGATGCTATATCAAACATTAGAACAATTCCAGTCGATACACAGACTACCAAATAACAGATTCCAGATTCAGTCAAGCATTAGATAATGAAAGCAACATTGTCAGGAAGAAATTATGAGACCTGATTCTGGAAATAAGCCAAGAAAGCTCTAATAGTTTCCCTATACGGTTTCGAGACGCCTGTCCACAAAGAATGGCTCCCTTCCACAATGTCATACCTGTTTGAATTGTTAATTTTAGCCAAACTACAATTGTTAGTAAAGGCACGATAATTACTATATATAATACAGAAGATTATCCCTTATCACATTTAGAAATGGATAAATGAAATGGAGATAGTCAAAAACAAGATCGATCTTACTACCACTCTAGTTTTGCTTTCTGTGGCTCAAGAGGTAATCGATGACCCAACAGTGTACGAACTGCAAGTGCTTCACAACTACTTTGATCAGACAGTCTCAAGCATCTTGAACGAATGTCTCCAACAGCCGGACCACCTGTAAACATATATTTTAAAAATATACAAACAAATATGTGTCTCACATTATTAACCAAGCCTCTCGTAAAACCTACTTTAGTTGCCTAATGACTTAATGGACTGTCATACTGCTAATAAACCATATGAATTATGAATCATCATTACAATATTATAGGACCTATTGCTCCTTGATCATAATCCTCGTTTTTTATCTTATTTCATGAAGAGTAGAACAATATTGAATAAAAGTAAGATACACACACACACACCAAGAACACGAACAATCTCAGCTGTGCTCCCTCCATCATCAGAAACAGGAAGAACGTGCGCCACACGGGTTGTTAAATTCTTAATCTCCTCCACAACACCATTGAAGGCAGTTCCACCTACAGCACTGAAAAGATTTTAAATAGTTTGGAGGCAAAATAATCATAAAATGAAGCATGTAGTAAACATTGTGAAAATGGATTTGGGTTACTAGATAACAATTCACGAATAAAGGAATATCTTCTGCATAAGCTATCTGACAGTCTGGACTTGAACATGAGATCTTAATGGAAGTTTTTGAATTATCTAAAAAGTATACTCCAAACATATGATATTAATAGAGGAGTTGAGAAAATGTGTCATTGTCTGATAGAGATGCAGAAAAAAAGGTTGAAAAACAATGGATTGTCTACAAGGAAAGGAAAAGCTGGAAAGGAATAAATGAAACATGGGAAGCCCGAATTAGGGGATTTAGATGGATTCTTGGGATCCTGGACATTTGAGAATGGAAAGCTATCAATTAGTTATCCTACCATATATTTATTATCCTATTACCTTATATAAATAATAATAATTTTATAAAAGGGAGTTAGAAAGTGAGGATGGGACATCGGGTAGAAATAATCTTAATAGCAAGGCTATTGGGCAAGTTATCTTGCTGGGAAGTTTTATACTTCTGTCATTGTTCTCCTCTTTTCATTTATAATAAATTTGTGTGTCCATTCCCCTTTTTTAATTATCTGATCCTTTACTCCTATCAATTGGTCCGACCTGCCACTACGAATGACACGCATGGACTCTCGAGTCAAAGCCACGGAGAAGGGTCAGGAAGTGCACGAGCAACGCCTCAATAAAGTCGAGGAGGCCATCTCTAAACTTACGGAGTTGGTCAACCAATTTTTGTCAGTCAAGCATAACAGCGAAGGGAGCGACACCTCCCAAGTCGATCACATCAACAT